GGTCCCTGCAGCCCAAAAGCAGCTCTGGTTTGGGGAACTAAGGTGCAGAGAGCCCAGATGGCAAAGGGGCTGCCAAGGTCGTGCGGGCACAGTGACACAGGGTCCCCACCAGGGCAGAAGGTGAAGCCTCTCCCAAAGCCGTGAATGCAGCTGGAAGCGGAGACGTGTTTTGTAAATACCTGGGGATCCTGCACAACCTGAAAAAACAAGTCAGAGGCAGGAATGTTCCGAAGACGAGGGGGTTTGGAAAAAGCCAGCCCCAGGGTCAGTGCCTGGCTGGATGCTTCATGTTGGCAGCAAGGCTGTCCTGGGGAGCAGCCCTGGTACTCCCCAAGGGAGCTGCTCCAGCCACAGCACCCTGGGAGCAGGGAGGTCCTGCCCAGGCTCTGGGGAGAGGTTTGGGCTGTGCCCATCATCCAGCTGAGGTGTGTGGAAACCCCACAGATGGAGGATGAAAGCCTGGGGCTCAGGCTGATCCCGCCAACGTGGCATCAGATGCAGGGCATCAGATGATGGGCACCAATGGTCACCTTTGGTTTACAGCTTCAAAACATAAGGAAAGCCCCAAAAAAGTCCTTCGGTCAAGTAAGTTGGAAACAAGGAATGGAAAATGCTGGGAAGAAGGGAGAGAAGATCCCAGAACAAGGAGCTAAGGTGGTTCCATGGGCAGCTGTGGCTCAGGTGGGTCATGCCATGGGAAAGTGCCTCCAGGCTGGGCTTTGTTAGATTCAGTTTCCATGCCCTGGGTTTGAGAAAGGAACACAGGGATATTGCTGGGTGCAGGAAAGGCTTCCTGGAGCTGAGCCCGGCTTAGCTGAATCACAGCCACTCATGGATCTGCACTCCCCAGAGAAGAAAGCCACGATAACAGAGTTCCCACTGCAGCAGCAAAGTTCAACCAGAAGCAGTAGAACTGCCCAAGTTCAGTGGTAGGACACAAATATTTGGTGCCAGGAGTAATTAATCACTGTCGTCTGCAAGACCCTCTGGGTCAGAATGAGGTTAATTCCAGGCAGTGCAACAGCCTTTGTCATCCCTGAACTGTCTCCGGCCCCAGATGCCAATGGGCTCCAGTGTCCCAAATCTTCAGCACGAAGAAAGATGAACCCACATCCATCCAAAGGCTGTTAGAGGACATGGTGTGGGACAGAAGAAGCCCTGTGTGCTATAGTCAACAAGGCACATCCCCTTTTCTGTGGGTTTGATGGTCCATGGTAGGTACCCAGCCCACAAGAGACATCCAAGGGGGTTCCAGCCCCATGGTCCCCTCTCCTGAGACAACTGTTCCCAGGGAAGGACTATACCTTCTGGTCTGTGTGAGGAAGCAAGTGCTGGCACAAATCTCCATCAGCACTGAACAGACAAAAGTGCCCTGTTAGGTGCTCGCTCGCCTGGGTGGTGTTTCTTGAGGAGATAATAGCCCTGGAAGAAGGACTTGCTGTTTTGGAGAAGATTAAGTACCTGTGGGAGCAGCATGTGGATGAATCACAACCCTCATGGGCTTAGAGCCCCTGGAAATGGCTCATGGCACTTTGAAAACAATGTCGTGAATCTTCTGCGGATCAGATTAGGGAGTGGAACAATTATCTCAAAACCTGTTAGTCATGGGAGGCTCCAGGAGCTGGAGGAACAGCCTAGGGCAAGGGGAGCACTAGGAAGATGTGTGTCCCCCTCCATGAGCAGCCCCAGGAAGGGTGTGGGAGGTGTCTGTGGTCGAACCAGCCCCGTTTCCCCTGCAGAGGTTGAGCTGTAATTAGCAGAACGGGTACGGAAGAGCTCAAGTAGGTCAAAAGGTAATGGGGCTATCGCCGGTGTTTCCTCACAGCAAAGCCCAGGCGGGAGGGAGGCACCCTCGGCGTTGAGCAATGGGCAGAGGAACAAGGCCAGGCACTGTCTTCAAGGGAAGATCCACCAAGGTCACCCTGACCACACACCAGCCTTTGGGGGGAAAGCTGGGGAACAGCCAGGGCCAGCAAACGGTGCTGCTGGTCCAGCCCCACCGCGCTGGATTTTGTGGTGAGAGCATCCATGGAACACTCTGAGTGCCACGGCAGAGAACACCACGGCTATCTACAACTGTCCTGAGGCATCCCACAGGGAGGGAACCCTGAGACCATGTGTGAGGAGCTCGGGAAGGGATGGATGGATGGACGGATGGATGGATGGATGGATGGATGGATGGATGGATGGATGGACGGATGGATATCCAACCCAGCTCTCAAGGGGATTGTGGGAATTCATGTTGTGTTTTGGGAAAGGCCGCATCTACCTCCTGTGAAATGCCATCATGAGAATGGATTCTGCGTTGTGGCTGTCCCTGTAAAACACTGGATCCCTGACCCTGCTCCCTTGCACACCCCAGCACTTCCAGCTTGGTCAGTGCAGTGAGGGATGCTCTCTCTTGGAAAACAACCTTTCTCCAATGGGATTTTTCAAGCCCCGGTGAAGTGATGGATGAGGAAGTTTAACTGGGCCCAGTTTAGAGCTCAAGTTCCCTGAGACTCTGCCTTGTGGCCACCTCCATTGTTCTCACTGAGTTCAGTAGCCCAGGGCCTCAAGCGAGCAGATTCCTGTGGGAGAGCCTGCGGATATGCTGTTGCATCCCTCCTCCTCCTTCTCCTCTACCTCACCGGCATTCCCAACATTCCCTTGAGCAGCGTGCGCTCAGCTGGGTGCCACCACCACACCCCGGCAAAACCACCCCAGCCTGTTTGACGCTGCACTTCTGCAGCGCTGCCGCTGCCATCACCGCTGATGAAATGTGTTTTTCTGCCAGTAGCAGGGAGGTTGTTTCCAGTCAGGATGGCACAGGTATCCCTGGCACGTGCCACCACCGCACCAGGGTTGCAGGGTCTGGTGGGGCAGCCGGTGCTGGTGGCAAGGGAGGGGAGATTGGTGTTGATGCCGGCACACGAAAACCCACGCGGAGGGGTCTGGGGGTCAGGCCCACGGCAGGGACGCACGAAGGATCACTGAGTACGGAGACTTGGTGAAATATTAAAGCAGGTGCTTAATAAAGCGAGCCCAGCGGCAGCAATTACCCTGTGTAATTAACCTGGCAAGGAGAGGACTTTGCCCCCCCAGCTGGGTGGTGCAGGGAGCTCCTGCCGGCACCCGCTGGGGATGGCACAGACCTGGCACCCGGCGCTGCGTGGAAGCCATGCTGGAGTCCCAGAATGACAACAGGTAGGTGGGGGGCAAAGTGCTGCCCGCTCTGGGTGCTGAGAAATGGTTTGGAATCACCCAGGGGACATTGACCCCCAATGGCAGGGAGGGATTTACACCTCACCTGCCTGCTCTGGGCACCGGGATGAACTGAGTGTGCCTGGCCAAGGCACTGGGACCCAGGTGGCCCAGTGCCTGCCTGGTGCTCCCCAGCAGACAAGCAGGTCCTGGGGGCACCACCTTATGGGGGTGACCAGGTGGCCCTGGGGGTGGCTGTGCCCTCTGTTCCCCATGTCCCAGCAGGATGTGGGTACTGGTGGCACTGGTTCTGGCTTGGGCAGGGGGCAGGGGAGCCTCCCTCCCACCGAGCTGCCCTGGATGCAGTGCCACTTCCTACCAGGAAGCTCTGCCCAGCACAGGCACCAGGCCAAGCCGTGCCAGGCCGAACTAAGCCAAGCTGAGCTGAAACAAGCTGAGCTAAACTGAACCAAGCTGAGCTGAGCTGTGCTTACCTAGGTGGCATGATGTTCCAAGCTGTGCTGAACCGAGCTGAGCTGAACTCTGCTGTAGGTGCCACAACATCTCGAGCCATGCTGAACCAAGTTGAGCCATGCTGGACTGAGACAAGCTGAACTGTGCCAGGCTGTGCTGTGCTGAGCTGAGCCAAGCTGAGCTGAACTGAGCTGAGTCAAGCTGAGCTGTGCCTACCTAGGTGACATGATGTGATGTCCTAAGCCGTGCTGAGCTGAGTCATGCTGAGCCATGCCAAGCTCTGCTGAGCTAAGCTATGCCTATCTAGGTAGCATGAGGTTTCAAGACATGCTGAGCCAAGCCAAGTCAAGCTGTGTCAAGCTGAGATGTGCCTACGTAGATATCATGTCCTGAGCTGTGCCAAAGGAGTGGAGCCATGCTGTACACAGCATGATGTCCCAAGCTCTGCTAGGTCACGTCGAACTGAGCTGTGCCTACCTAGGTAGAGTCACGTCCCAAACTGTCCTGAGCCGTGCTGAACTGAGCTGAGCTGAGCTGAATTGCACCTACCTAAGTGGCACAATGTCCCAAACTGAGCTGAGCCGAGCTGTGTTGAGTTGAATCACACCTACTGAGGTGGCAAAATATCCTGAGCTCTGCTCAGCTGAGCCAAGTCAAGCCATACCAAGTTGAACTGTGCCTATCCGGCACATCAGCAAGTCCTCATCTGTGCTGAGCTGTGCTGTGCTGAGCTGAGCTGTGCCAGGCTGGACCAAGCTGAATTGTGCCTACTTAGGTGGCATAATGTCCTGAGCAGGCTGAGCTGAGCTAAGCCGTGCTGACTCGAGCTGAGCCATGCCTAGTGAGCTGGCACAACATCCCAAGCAGGGCTGAGATGAGCTGAGCTGTACCTGCCTGGGCAGCATCATGTCCCGGGCTGAGCCACGCTGAGCGCACCTACC